ACTTTTGTCCGTAACACAGTTGACAAAATAATGAACCAGGTGTTTTTTTGATTTGAATATTTAAGAAATCATTAGAGCTTAAGCTTGCCAATTAATGGAATTAGCACAATCCAGGGGTATTCTATGGAAACAAATAGAATATTAAGCCAAAAAACGCACTGATTTTTTCACTTTTTGGTAGATCTGAAATGTACCCCTAATTATAGAATCACTCGCATGCTGGAGAGCCAGAGAGAGAGCCAGAGAGAGATCCAGAGAGAGAGCAGGGCAGGGGCCGATCCTGCAGGGACATGACACTGGTCACAGCTTCCTCAGCCATAAAAGCCGGTTTCACATTCCACTCTCTGCCACACTGTAACTTCAGCTTAAGTAGTTGAGTCATCAGGCCTCAGCAAATTGTTGTTCTAAGTGGTAAACCGTAACTAAGCTGTGTGTTCTCCTGTCCTGCAGTCCCACTGGCTGCACTGCCCTGGTTCTGCTTCAGTCCTGCGATCCCTTGCCCCAGCTTGGTCCTGTTGTCTCCTGCCCCGGTTCGGCTTCTGTCCTGTCCGCCCTGGTCCTGCCTCCGGCCCGGACTGCCGGTCCTCGGGAGCCTGTCCGCCCCCCATCGTGAGTTTTAGTTAGTTTTGTCCCAGGCCCCCACCTCAGTTATTCCTGGTTTTCAGTTCTTTTCTTGGTTCGAATACACTCTGTTTGAACCGCCACCGTTCTCTGTCGTGTCTTTGTATCCTCCACTTGGGTTTACCTTGTGCCATGACACAGGAAGCGGAAACTAGGACAAATGTTACAGAATACAAATGAGCATGAGGGATGCGAACAGGCGGGTAGGACTAAATACATACTAAACAACACACCAAACAAATTACAAAAGAACCCAAAGTCAGTACTATTCAGGGTTGGGCACGTTGCTTTTAAAAAGTAATTAGCTATTGTTACTTGTTACTTTTCCCAAAAAGTAACTGAGTTAGTCACTAAATTACTCCACTACAAAAGTAACAAATTACCAGG